CGTTCGCAATAGGGCGCTGCTTTTGCCTGGAGAGTTTCTCGATGACTTGGGCATCATCCCGCAGATCCACTTGGGTCCCGACAATGAGACACGGGACGCCAGGGCAGTGGTGGTGCACTTCCGGAAACCACTTTTCCTTGACGTTTTCGAACGAAGCAGGAGATGTCACGCTGAAGCACACAAGAAACACGTCGGTCTGAGGATATGATAGTGGACGCAGTCGGTCGTAGTCCTCCTGACCTAAAAATGGATAAGGGCCGAAGCACCGAGAACGACAACTCGCGCAGACGGACCAGCGGTATCGAAGAGTCCTAATGTGTACGGGTCGTCTCCAATCATTACAGTCACCGCATAGTTATCAAAGACCTATTGAAATGAGGTGTGCGAGTTGGACACATGTGAAAGCACGATAGGGGGAATGCGTACAGTCGGGACGTATTCGCTGGGAAACTTGTTGGTTGTGTAAGAGATGAGGAGGCAAGTCTACGGCGAGCGGGAAAGTTTAAGTGGCGCAACGAAGGTTGAGAAGCAGCGACACACCTTTCCCACAGCACCATCGCCAACAACTACGCATTTGATCGTCTGCATGATTGGAAAAGGAGTCTAAAGCGGTCGGTTTGCGGGGATGGCACTGTAGCCAGAAAGGTCAGCGTCAAAGGACGGCGGTGCGCTGATTGAGGGAGCAAGGGCACGATGAATGTGGTGCAGTTTGGCGTGGTTACCAGGTGGGCAGAGCCTCGTGGCAGTGTCGGGGTGACAGACGCGGAGGGTAAGAGGATGTGGCGACTCCTACTTCTACCAAGTGAGGACGAAAGAGACTCACAGAAATTGAATATGCTGGTCGCCTGCACTGTTGCGTACCCTGGACGCTACTCGATCAGCCTCGACGGAAAGTCAGATGAAAATAGAGTCTGCATAAGGAGGCCAAGCAACGAGAGCGATGAGCTGGCGTGTGACGAGCGACGAGAAAGACTGAAGACGTACAGGAACAAGGGCCGATAGCCTGGAGATATCTAGGACGATACCAAAGGTGCCGCAAGAGGGAGTTGCTACAGTTGATCGACGTCCAACAACAGCAAACATCACTCGCGATCTCCGAATTATTTTCGGCGCCGTGCTCTGGCCCGGTTCTCTTACGTCCGCCGAACGAAACGCAAAGGCTAACAGACTGCAACCATGCAAATCCGACATCTTTTGCGACTGGTGCCAGAAAAGATCCTTAGACTTCTGCCGACACATCGTGGAGGAGCGAGTAGTAGATTCCGGAATTATGCTTGTGTCAAGAGCGGAGACTACTTAAGTAGCTCTACTACGCTTGTATTGTGCCACAGAATCTACCGGGAGCGGAGAGCCTGGCCACCACAGCACGCGTCCATCGTCTGTCCCCGCTACCACACATGAATCGGAGCTCTGCCTTGGCATCAGCGAAGCGGACGAAAAAACAGGAGACAAGCGCACAGCCACGGTTTGAATGACGACGGCGACTTCTTTTCAGCACAGTCAATTGACGGAGCACTCAAACTGGGGGACTCGCACCATCAGGGAGCTCGAAGCCGTGCACAATTTGAACGTCTGTATCCCACGCGAGTAGACAGTTCCTGCTTTTACCGCAGACGATGAGTCTGCCCCGCGAAGCATAGACGGCGAACGGCGTTGGGGCCAAATATGGTGCTTGCATTATTTTTGCATCTCGGTTGCTCGTCGGATCGAGACTGATGAGACACGGAGAATGTTGGCCACCTTGAGTTACCACAGCCTGTTTCCCCGTGCAGCTTATCGCTATGGACGTGCTGAATCTTCATTCAGCGTGAAGACCCAGCGAGGGAATCCGACTGACATTTTTTTTTCAAGGAACGCGCAGGCTCGCATGGTGCCGTTGGGCACCTGGGTGTGCCACCTGCATGTAAATCAGCGTTGCTGTCGACGCAAGGTGCTTCGAGACACGGACACGACCCCATCTTTCGTTCCTCCCAAAAGTGCACCACCGTCTTCCGTAAAGGCCAACGCAGTAACATTGTACCGCATGATTGAGCGCTGCTGCCGCCACCCTCCTTGGCGCGGTCAATGCTGTTCCTCGGAAATGACGGTACCGCACCTTGGACCAGCGTCCACACCTTAACTCCCGAGCGAGGGAACGACACGGCGATTTTGTCCGGCGTACAAGCCAGACATGAATCGTCAAGAGCCTTTTCACCCGCAGCTAGTATATCCAGCCAGACCCAGCCGTCGTGCGAAGGCTGGCGGTCGGAAATTAATCTGTCGGCTGAATAGTGCGCGGGCCGCCTACTTACCTTCCGCATCCATTTGCCGAGGACCCCGTCTTCTCTGAGAGCCAAGATGCCATTCGCCCATGCGATTGCGGAGATCGGGGGGTCAGACGTCACATGGACCTGCTCAAGACGTCCGGCGTTCCAGATATCGACGGTGCGGTCGTCGCCTACGTGCAGGTCAGCACTGCGCTTCGAAACCGACTATTCGAAGCCTACAAAGCATCACTAGGACCGAGTCATCCGGGCTCGACACGATGCGGCGGATGCCCCTGCCGTGAAGAGTCGTGAGAACCTGGAAGGAAGTTGCCGGCCAGGGATGATCATATTTGGCAGCATGAACCAAGGGTAATGGCGAAGGCGACCGGATGCGCTTGCTTCCTCTGGACAACGATGGATCGGGGTCCCCATGATTCAGGTATACTACTGCTGCCGGCTCATTGGGCGGAGGATGGGAGTCTGTCGTCGAGACATCGGCACCTTTTGGCACGCACGTCAATGGAGACTTGCCTGCACGCGTCGATGACCCGCTCGGGTCCATATGAACGGACGACTCGTGGCCTGCAACAGAGAACAGAACTGGCGAGGTGAGATCTATGGGAAATGCTCTATAGGATCCAATGAGAGTCGGTTGGTGTGGATCGTCGTCATGAGGATCCTTGAGCCAAGCTTTGCGGACTGGAAGATGTTAGAGCAGGCGCGGATGGCATAGATCGACCTCACCGTTATAGCAGTCAGGAGGCGGTGATCCGTAATCGAGGGCATCGTCAAAGTTCGCCGCAGGTACCCGGGAGCTGCTCGGCTGATCCAGCGATACACTGCGTTGGGTCCGTGAAACGGCAGACTCCAGCACAAGAGGTCCACTGTGTCCGACAGGGTCCAGTCGCTTTGGTTGAAGAGCCTCATTGGCGTGACCGTCAACCGGTCCGACTGGGACCACGCGCCATGGTCGCATGCTGAGCGGATTATCAGCTGAACCGGAGCGAACCTGGGACCACGCTCGCAAGTCCGTGGACGACGTTGAAGGGCCAGAGCTCGACTCCGCAGGATCAGCATCGGCTGGTCTCCAGTACGGTTTGTTATGTGGTTCAGCCCGTTTGGTCAATGGATCAGAGCTCTTCGTTCTGGACCAAAAGCTATCAGATTCAAGGCCGGGATCCTTGTCCTCGCCACCGCGATCTCTAGCTTTTGGCCGGCCACGATGCGTATGTCTTCGTCTCTTCGCAGGCTTCGCGGGGAGATCAACAAGTGAGTGGCGGTCGGGATGCACAGCATCTATCAGGGAGCGACGGTCAGGGTGCATGAATGAGCGTGCAATTTGTGGCTCATGGTTGTTTGGAACAGAATCAGAGGACAGCGCATCGGCTGCCTCAGAAGCGGCCGCACCAGACGATGAGGATGGGACGGGGACGGAATCAGAGTTGGCATCCGTCGAATCTCGTGCACTCAGCGCACGCGGCGAGGCAACAGGGAACGGATCCTCGGTCGCCTCGGAGCATTCAACGTCTCCCACAGCGCCTGAGAAATTTGTGATGAAACCACCCGACACAAATGGATTGAACAATGGTTTCGCCGGGCGATGGCAGGAAGTCATGGACGTGTTCGAGTCTCCACTATCCATTTTCCCCGCAGGCAGCGGAGAATGTGGAGTCTGAACGACGACGATTTCCGGAAGGGCTTCAAGCTCTGAAATCACAGGCGACAGTTCCATGGGCTCTGAAGTGGACGGCGACTGCTCGATCGTCAGCGGTTCGAGTAGTGTGGGTCTCGAAACGACATTCTCGGGGTTCTAGATGAGATAACACACGTTTGCCGCAAAGTACATGACAATTCAGTCGTGCAGACTCACCTGTTTATGTTGAACTACCACTGCATCCAAATCCAGTTCATCCGTTTGCACGAGAACGGAGTTCTGGGAGATGGATGACTGTTCTGGTAGAGTCTGCAGACCAATGGATACGGCATTGGCAGCGGGAGAATCAACCTGAGTCGCAGCAGACACGTAATTATGATCTGTCTGCACGCCAACTGTGGCAAATAGTCTCGCTTAGGGAAGGAGAATGAGCAAGGTTTTTGGCAGAAACGAGATGAATTGCTAACAGAAGCACTCACTGGGCGGGCTTACTTCCTCAACTCTTTTGTACCAATGTCGACGCATCTTTGGAGGAATATGCTCCTCAGCCTCTTGCGTCAACTCGGCGATATCCTCCTGCTCCTCCTGCTCTTCCTCAACCTGGGTGGCATCTTCGGCATCAGAATCTTCTTCTTCCCCGTAGTCCACATTCGCTTCCAGATACACGACGCGGTCTCTAAAATGATCGTCTTCAGTCTCGACTGTCAACAGTAGTTCCTTTCCAGACTTGAGATTGATGGATTTAAACGCGAAGAGCTTGAAGTACACGACATCGTCGCCCCCTTCTTTGTCGCTCGATTCATCCTCGTCCCGCGCGACGCGTCGCAGAATGACGTGCGCTTTCTGGGTGGTGGGGTTGTCGCGAAACCGCAGACCACCTTTGATGTTCAGGGCAGTGTCGACCGACTCAGCCTCCGTGTCCGAAGATTCAGAATCGGGGCCCATAATTTCGAGAGAGTCGGAGAGCGGTCTGCGTGGGCCGTGTCGCTGAACCATGGGAGATGGAACGACTGAGCTGTCAGTGTTTCGATAGTGGAGTTATAGATATCACGTGGGGAGAGGCATGTCACGCGAGATCGACACTGCCACGCACTGTGCTCCTCCTTGTCATCCATGTACCGTCATCTCCTCGGTCGACGAAAACGGCTGTGTCTGTGCTTCCTGGTGCTCTCGGGGTGGTTCTCCACCGTCGCGGTTGCGATATGGCCATTCCCACCGAAGAGATTCTCCGCCAACTCTCTCGTCGACGCGGGGTCCATGGGCATCAACGTCGAAGGCCGAATCATTGCATTCGGAGACTTCAATGGCGATCAATAGTTGAGGGCTAGGGCTTGAACTTGGTCCGGGGAGACTGACTGACCCGACCTAGTCTTGACGCGCTCACGCTAGGTGCCGACCAGCAGACTTTAACGGTTTATCTATGGGACCACGGTGCGTATCCTTGGGCAGCTGCGGGGGCGATCAGTGACCAGCATGAACTAGAGGAGTACCTCTTCAAAAAGTCTTCGAGCCTACAGCATCCACGCAAGATCTACAATGTCGTTCCCGGGGACTTCACGCACTCAGGAAAGCTGGACCTTCTTGTCATGGCGCAAAGCTCAACGAGCAACCGATTGGACCTCTCAGTATACCCTGCGTTACCGGGAGCCGTTTTTGGTGCGTTTTTGCCTTATTCTCTTGATCAATGTTCGAACGATGCACTCCAGACACGAGTAACCCGCTATCTGTCCCGGCATCGAGCTCACCACAACCCATACCCATCGATGTCGACGGAGACATGAAGATTGACATGCTTGGGATGACACAGGACTCGGAAGGCTCTAGCTCCCTGCTTCAAGTATGGCGGAATGTCTGGAACGAAACAGACCCGCATTCTCATCTGTTCAATGTGTATGTGGTCTCAATGTCACAGCGCAAACATATTGAGTTCTGTATTTCCAGTGGGGAGCCTCTCTTCCATGGCGAGCAGTGCAAGATAGCCAACCCGCACAGCAATGCAGTTATAGACTTTGATGGAGATTGTCTTGCAGGTCAGTGGGACAGTCAATCTGATTTGTGAGTATTCATAATCCTGCAGACCTCTTCATATTGTGTGAGGATGGGCACGGCGGGAAAATCTATCAGATCTGGATCAATAGCAAGGCGGTGGTTTCTTGCTTGCCTCACAAGGCGCAATGCCTGCTGGTGTGCAAACTGTGTCGTTCGCGGATGTTGGCGAGTGTCTACCACCATATCAAATGCGCAATGGCTGAACATAGATACTAGACCGTGACGGTACAATCGATATGGTCTTCACGACCTGCTCCTCGGTATCGACTTCGACTGGAATCGGCAATGATTGTGCCATCAATATCGCCTACAATTCACAACTCCCTCTTTGCACTGCTACGGCTGACTCGGGCCTCAACAAGGGCGTGCGGACGTGTCGTCCGCCAGAAGATCTATGCGTGTCAGATCCGTCTTTTAAATTTGACCTGTCGAATAGCGCTGTAGGTGGTCAGCGGTCTCTACCCCACTTTTTCACTCAAGTCTTTACAGATCTTTGTTCGCATTCCGATCACGTCTATCGTTCCTGACTCGTCTTTACTCGTTTATGACACTACACAAATCCCGGCCCTGCCACTGGCACTGAAGCTGGGAGATGCCAACCTGGATGGGTTCCCTGATATGTTACTCATCGTTGTCTCCAACCAGAATCATATTCCAAGGCTGCTGTTGTCCACTGCCTGTGCTCATGGAATCGCTGGATGCGACCAGGGCCCGAAGAAACGTGGATGGGCTGTTGCGAGCAAAGGCACCGAAGCCTTGGACAAGGTCCAAGATGCGCGGGGTGTCGCGTTTCTGGATATGGACGAAGACGGATCTTTGGACATCCTTGTTCAGCGCACAGGGTCGTTTGGCCAAGGCAACATTCTGTTTGTTCAGAATAACTACTACTATGATGCGTTTTTCTTGAAAGCGATCGGTGGGTGCTTGCTTGACTTTTCCACGCTGAGGCTCACATGCACTAGTCCTAAATGGGGCCTGCGGCAACGGCTGGTGCTACGGACCCAATGGCACGGAAAAATATCATGTGTGTTATGTTACATTCCACCCATCTGCTTTTTTCTGAATTAAGACCAGCCTTTCGGAGTCAGTTACTCCGGAGCAACCTACAAATACACTGTTTTGGACACAACCGGCAGTCGGTCAGCCGCGCAAGGTGAGGCTTTGTCCAACGGTCTGACATCTGCTTGGTCTAATCCCGTCATAGTGGGTCAACTTCCGCAAACATCATATCAGTCGCTGCAGACTCCGTACTCGTTCATCGGACTGGGTCGAACCAACAATTACATCGAGAACCTCTTCGTCGGATCAACCATGCACACGGAGCAACATTACATCAACATTGAAGGTGTCATACCCAACTCCAAGGTCGTCATCCTTCCACCATCAAAGGAAGGCGACCCTTGGAAACGCGAGCTATTTTTGCGACCGGGAGATTGGATCCCATGGGTGACTCTTACTGTGGTAATCGGCATGATACTGCTCGCGGTCATTGTGCTGGTGCTGCATCTGAACGAGAAGGTGCGCTAAGGGTGGCTCTGGTGTCGGCAGTGCATTAACGATTTACAGAGGGAAGACGAGTTGGAGAAGCGAAGAGCATCACATCACATCAACTTTGATGCATTGTAATGGACTCATCCTAGTTCTCATCTGTATATTACCATGGAACTCTTTATTATATCGACTGGTATAGAGCATGTATGTGCATGAAATTCGCTTTGATTCTGGGCCGTCGACCAATCAATTTCCCTCTACTGCGTAAAGGTCGCGACTCTGGTACTCGCGGCTCTAAAAGAAAGCATGGCATTGGCAATCGGTCCAGTATCCTTGACTACTTCTTCGGGGGTCTCTTCTTCACCTCGTCTTCCTTGCAGGCATGCAACATAATCTTATTGGGATGTCCTGTTGTCATTCCACCGTGCCCCTTATGCCAGTCATACGAGATGCTGTATGCGAAGATCGACCCGTCTCGACTGAACGCAGTGCTGGAAATCGGGCCAGGCTGCGTATCAAATGCTTGGAGGAAGGTAAGCGTAAGATCCAGAAAAGAGGCAGGGACTGACTCTTGAGCCGGATACGCGCATCCTTATCCCAGAAACCGATAGATCCGTCTCCCCCTGTCGAAGTCGGTCAATGCCACGACGAAAACACACGCATACGCATACATACCACAGGTACTGAATGTCCCTTGCACAGGGTGGAATGATATATCGTTCACCGCGAACACGTTGATGTTGTTCTTGTTGTTGGGTGTCACTTCGACGCGGTGGCAACGGAATGAGAAATTGTTTCTGACAGAGAGGTGAGTCTGAGGAGCAGGTATCAAGACGCCGGGACGGACGAGGAGTCTTTGTCTTCAATATACCTGATGACAGCGTGTCAGCATTAGCCGGACGCGAAATCGTTGCACTTACTGGAAGGCGGCACGCCCCTCGATGCTTCCAACGGCAAAGCCCTGCTTTTCGGAAGCTTTGAAGCAACTGACGACGCGTGTTTGCATCTTGAGAGGTGATTGTAGCGTCTAAATAACGGACGATCGGCATTCTGACCGGATGTACCCTGAGTCACTGACCTTAAAGACGGTGGTAGGATTGGTGAGATTGAATATCTGGATGTGCCGCTCAGCAGTCCCTACGACCATGAGCGGATACTGAACATCCATACTGTAGCAGCGCTCCGCGAGCTGGACCGTTGCAACAGGATTTGACGAGCGCAGGTCCCAGTACTTCGACAGCAAAGTCAATGGAGATCCTCGGTCAACATGCAACTAACATACTTTCACGGTCTTGTCCCAGCTTCCCGTAGCAACTATCCCACCTCCAGGAGACTCGATCCATCGCACAGCCTTGACTGGCGCGTCGTGTTGGGCTATTTGGGATGACTGGCCAGTGGCGACATCGAACATCCGACCTGCGTTATCAGTCCCACCGGAGAGGATCTTTGAACCGTCCTGAAACATTCAGATTCGTACGAATGGCCCAAGAACCTGACAATGGACGCACTTGTGACCAGCAAACGCTCAGGACGGGACCCTGATGTTGATACATGGCTTTGCCTTGACTAGCGCCGCGCTGACCAATTTCATAGACGCGAACCTGCAATTGTCTTGTGAGAACCGGCATGAATTCCGAAGAAAAGACGAGACGCACACTGTTGTCCCAACTGCCCACTGCTAGGAAGTCTGCCTGGTTCGAGAACGCCATGCTCGATACGGAGTCGGGAGGCGGGTCGGTAAGTTCGATATCTTTGTCGGCCACATTGGAATTTCCGGCTCCATTCGTGTTCGATGAGAAGAAAGACATGGCTGAGGTGTGGGACGCGTCTCAACGCGTCTGTATACACACTACCAGTAGTCGCAAGTAATAAGAGCGGTGATCGGAGCCGAAGTCCAATCATTATGCACAGCCTTTGATCGTTGATGAAGTCTATCTGATTTGGGCACGAGGTGGTCATTACGATGAAATGACTTGAGGGGACTGGCTAAGAATGTTATTATAAGAGTTTTTGGAAGGAGTCAAGAAGCATATCTACAACTAGACTTGCATGCAGAAAGGGAGTGGCGAGCAACCCTGCGGGACATTGAAGAACTGTACATTTTCACGTGACCGCTTCCGGCACCGAATCCTGGTAGGATAAAATCATCTTTTAGCCCCCCAATCTCTTGTCCCAACAACCTCAAGACTTTCCTCAAGACAAAAATGGTAAGCAACACGTTGCCGCTGAGGTCGCTCTCGGTGCTCTATGCATTGGTCTTTGCTGGTAAGAACACTGTCTGTGAAATAGTACGTTTCCTGTCGTCTAGATGTACCCAGCTGACCTTTCTTCAGATCGCAACAGCAAAGACTACATGAGGACTGAGCGCAGACATGCATTTTGCACAAGTCATTCGTCGCGATGACGTCCCATGGATGCTGGGCCTGTGCTCGCAAGGGCGCAGGCGCTAGAGCTCCGGGTCGGCCTCGGCTCGTCTTTTGACTTGTAGCCGTTGCTGATTCGTCTCCATGACCAGCCCAAGGCCAAATCCGGAACTGGCAAGAAGCCCGCCGCGGCACCCTTCGGTGCGAGCAAGCCCCAGAAGGTCAAGAAGAACCCTCTTTTCGAGAGCAAACCCCGGAACTTTGGTATCGGTGCGTGCCATTTTTTTCATCGATTCTCAATGTTAACATCTCGACAGGCCAAGACATCCAGCCCACCACTGACTTGACTCGCTTCGTCAAGTGGCCTGAATACATCCGTCTGCAGCGCCAGAAGGTCATCCTCCACCAGCGCCTCAAGGTTCCCCCTGCCATCGCCCAGTTCTCGCACACCTTGGACAAGAACACCGCCACTCAGCTCTTCAAGGTCCTCAACAAGTACCGTCCTGAGACCAAGGCTGAGAAGAAGACTCGTTTGGAGACCACTGCCAAGGCTGTCGCTGAGGGCAAAGAGACGAAGGTATGTCGACATTAGGCGTGGTGGGAGTGCTGCTCGACTGACGATTGTTGCAGGAGACCAAGAAGCCTCTCTTCGTCAAGAGCGGTTTGAACCACGTTGTTGCCCTCGTCGAGGCCAAGAAGGCTGCGCTCGTCGTCATTGCCCACGATGTCGACCCCATTGAGCTCGTTGTCTTCCTTCCCGCTCTCTGCCGCAAGATGGGTGTTCCCTACGTCATTGTCAAGGGCAAGGCCCGTCTCGGTACGGTCGTGCACAAGAAGACTTCCGCTGTCCTGGCCATTCAGGAGGTCAAGAGCGAGGACGAGCGTGACCTGGCTGCAGTTGTCGGTGCCGCCAAGGCTAACTTGTAAGATGTCGTCGCTACTCTCCGCATCATTTGCTTATCGTATCTTGCAGTTCGGACAAATACGAAGAGCACCGTCGTGTGTGGGGTGGAGGTCTCCGTGGCAACAAGTCGACCCAGAAGCTGCGCAAGCGTGCTAAGGCCGCCGGCCAGAGCATCACTGCTGCAGCTCTCACCAAGCTCTAAGCGCTCCCTTGTATCATGGGGATGTTTTGGTTTGTTGTTGGGGACAAAATGGGCGCTGCTTGTCGCCACCGCTTATTCACGCCCTGTGCGTAGTCATGCTCAGATACTTGTACGTATCTCTATGTCCAATATATGCTACGCCTATGCTATCTTTGGATTCCTGTCCGTTGTAATTGTAATAGCTCAGCCAATTGTAGCATCCAGATCATTAGCATTGTCGAGTTCCATGAGTTTCATCTCGTATACACATCGCTATGATTGATCATGTCGGGATACTCCAACTGTGGTGTGTACAAACGTGCGATCGCTTAGTTACAGTACAAGATACAACTTGACATCCATCGTCACAAAACCACTTTTGAAACGTATTGTTCGAGCCGATACTATTGATGCCAACGCTACGGGAAAAGCACAACGCAACGGGAAATTGCTGATCTCTCTTTCCCTCCTTTGAAGTTGCCTCCGGTATCATCCGGAACTTGTAGCTACCATTCGAAAACCCTTATATACAAGATTTCTCACTTATACATGAACGGGAACCACATAAAAAACAAGAGCCGGTCCATCATTTCGAGGCCACAAACCCAAGATGACTTTACAGCGCAAGTTCCTCCTCGTGCGAGGCTCTGGTACTTTGTAGGAGACATAAATTATGTATTCTAAAAGTGCTCCAACTTCTTCCTTGTCTTGCCGGTGCGTGGTTGTGGAGAACTGAAGAAAAAGTGGATGAGCGTGACATTTCAAAGTCCGATCGGTAGGCAATGTTGATGGCTTGAGAACACGTGCTGACGCGTCGAGTTTGTACCCCCTTATCTTGGCACCGGATGACGGTTTTCACAGTCGAGTTTTAATTTCAAGCTCCCGGAATCCAGAATCCTTTTGATGATACTAATCCGTACTTCATGACACCTAATACTCACTAATACCTGCTGCTTACATTTGATGCAACATACTTATTCTCATCCTAAATACCTGCTAAACTTGTTATATTACATACTATAGAAATGTCCTTCATAGTTCATTGTTCATGATTGTGCGTGCAGCGCAAGAGTCTGCTTGATCGTAAGCTGCGGGAGGTGTCGATCAGGCGGAGTGTCAAAGGATTTGTGACACTCAGTGACACTTTGCACCCTCCCTCCAGTTCTCCGCAACCACGCACCGGCAAGACAAGGAAGAAGTTGGAGCACTTTTAGAATACATAAGTTATGTCTCCTACAAAGTACCAGAGCCTCGCACGAGGAGGAACTTGCGCTGTAAAGTCATCTTGGGTTTGTGGCCTCGAAATGATGGACCGGCTCTTGTTTTTTATGTGGTTCCCGTTCATGTATAAGTGAGAAATCTTGTATATAAGGGTTTTCGAATGGTAGCTACAAGTTCCGGATGATACCGGAGGCAACTTCAAAGGAGGGAAAGAGAGATCAGCAATTTCCCGTTGCGTTGTGCTTTTCCCGTAGCATTGGCATCAATAGTACCCCCTTGGAGCCTCGACTCCACGGCTCCGTGATGGAAGCACTACCCGCACAAAGGCCGCGGCTACGGATGCTGCGGACGAGTTGTGGACAGCGATGGAATGTATACACTGCCGATCGATGATCTCCACATAAGAGGCTCAAACCGCGTCACAGTGAATCATCAGTATCAAACCTCGAGTCCAAGTCTAATATGGCACCCTCTTCCAGCACTGCGGGGCCCATCTCTCTGCACTTCCAGGACGTTACCCGCATCGCAGGCGAAGACATCCAAGGCCATGTCGAACTGAACTTCCAGGAAGCGCAAACCGACCATCTCGAGTCGGTTTATATCAAGTTCGAAGGCGTTATCTTCACGTTCGTACTGCCTCGATCCGGATCTCTCGTCCCTGCTTCATCTTGAGATGTCCAGAGAAATCATGACTTCCACTGGGACCAGCGTTATTGTCGAGCGGGAGAAAGTCCCTGTGGGTGCTTTCTTTGAGTGGCCCAGTTGAAGTTCATCAAGCATCTATGTAGCTGTTCGGCATGGAGACCCCGCTCTGGAGCACCGGGACCTTTCCGTCGCCTGGAACACACACCCTTACCCTGCCCTTCCAATTCACGTTCCCGGAATCTCTCCCGCCGTCCTTCCACGGTGTGATCAAGTCCAATTCCATTAAGGGGAGTGTCCGGTATACCCTGGAGGTGGTCGGGCGTCGCGATGGGCTTCTGCGCAAAGCGCGGCGCATTCGACGAGCGATCGCTCTCCTACCATCGGCGGCACCGGAACAGTTGCGGGTCCGGGAGGTTTTGTTGCAAGGGTGGGGCGGAGCGGTGCAAGATTTTGTAGCTGAGGAAAAGTTGCGCCAGGGTCTTTGGGGCGACTATTCGCATGCGCGCATCAAGGTGTGCATTCAGGCGACTCTCATGTTTTCGTTTAACCCCGGTGGATGCACCAGCTCTCTCTGCCACAACTGGACACGTTCCCCGTCGCGACCACGATCCCCATCTCGTTCACTGTGGAGACTGACACGAAGCCGATCAGTTCCTCGGAGGCTCCAGTTGACAAGCACGGCAAACCGCTGTTTCCCGCTCTTCCAGCGTCTTCCGCGGATATCAAACTTGGCTTGGAGCTGAAGATGGAGGTTCGATGCCAGAAGAGCCACCGTAAAGGCAGAAAGGAGGTGGACCTCGCGGGATCACTAGGCGATCCAAATGCCGTCAAGACAGTCAGACACACTTTCGCCGACCCACAGTGGATTCCGAACGGGGATTCCAAAACGGAAGGCTTCTGGCGACGGACCGTCACATTTGACTGTGGCCTGACTCTTCCCTATGCACCGACTACGACGCTGAGGACGCTGTATTGGAAGGTTTGCCGTCTGCATGCACCGGCCTCCAGCTTCTGACTGGGTATCGTGCAGTACCAACTGCTTCTAAAGGTCCCGTTCCCTGGTGTCGGGAACAATCTCAAGCTGGAAGTCCCGATCGTTCTTGGACCATGTTCTGCGTGCCCGCCACCTGCCGTCGGCGCTGCAGGATCTTCGCAAGCTACTTATGCCGACGTTCTTCCCGCGGGACCACCGCCCATGATGGATCTTCCGCCGTGCGTTTTTTTAGGGCAGTCCCGTCAACTCACTGACATCCGGTAGCACTTATTGGACTGGAGAAGGCGAAAGCTGGGATGATGACGAGAAAGATTAAGAAATCAGGGTACGGCTATTACAGAATCTTATTTATACATACGTTGTACAGCACATCAATAGGGGGGTGCCCCGATGAAGCGCGCGAGGGCCCTTCTCGCCAAATCGACATCGTGTTCCATTGGAGGTGTCACTGGCTGCGCGTAAGCTTGGAGAAGAGTGATTACGGACCATCCTATGACGCGTCAGTACGCGATTCAGTCACCGTCCGCGCAGGTAGACGCCACCCACTGTCCAGACGGCGTAGTTCTAGCAGTGTTTCGGGGAAGGAGATGGGGACACGATTGAGAGCAGTAAGCAGCGGGCGTAACGAATGCTTGTTTTCGTGAGCGCGGCTGTTGTACAGACGACATTTCGACCATTGGTCACTGCATGACATGAATATCCGAGCGCCAAAATACAGGATCTGCCCACGCACTGGATGGAAAGCGTGAAGAACCATTCCGCAAGTTGCTTCTCGAGTTCTCGGTAGTACTGCTCTTCGACCGTCAGTTCAGCCTATCAGACTTGAAGGAGACTGATGGAAAACAGAGGCGACGCGTGAGGCATAGCTCATGGCATGGAGGTTTGCTATGAGCCGACCAACCGCCTGGTTTATGTGAATATTCGATTAGACAGGGTTCAGCGGGTCCCTGAGTGCCAAAAGGATGGGATCATCGCCAACCAAGACCCGCATGCTCGTTCCTGCAGTCAAGGCTGAAAGTATATCCTCACCGCGCGTTCACTTTCTCAGGGGCGGTGATAGCTCAGTAGTCAGCTCCGTAGAGTACGACGCTAACGGAACTTACGACGTTCTAGACACAATCCGAGTCCAAGAGACCATCGATGCGTGACATCTCCGAGGCATCGCTTTCGTGTCATCACAAGAGAAAAGCGACGAGACGCCGTGAGATGATCGTGGAAATGACCTGAAAGCGAAGTTTCTGCGGCAAAGAGAGCGGAAGCTAGCGATAGTACGTGGTTCCTGATCGCTGATTTTGCAGGTTGAGCTTGTGGCAAACACATAGGCTGGCAAGGGAGGCCACGAGAAAGCTTGATCTGAGACTGATTGTGGGACATCGTCTTGGTTGCGAGAATTGGCTGACACTTGAACTGGTCTGGACACAAAGGGCCGAGAAGCAGGGGCTCGACCGCAGATCTAGACCCCGGAAAGAGAAGGAATTGATGCCGATTTGTGCCGACGGTCCAGGCCCACCCCACCTCTTTGACCTAGCGCCCTTTCGGAGGGCGGCATCGGGTCGTGCGACGACCAGGGCCATTCGGAATAACGCGCATGTGTTTCCCGTTCCGACTGACGAGAAGGACACGAAAAACGGCTGCAAACGACGGATTGCGAAGCGCGGTTTGCGACATCACGCAACGGGGTGGGATTTTGGCCGTTCAGTTATAAGAAGAGAAGGGCTGGGCCTTCGAGCTATACCTACCCCAACTTTCACCCGAAGTGCCTGGATGGACGACCGATATCGCGTACAGCAGCAGCAGCCTTTGCTGCCGCTTCTCTCCATCGCCGCCTCTCGCGCCCAATATTCTCCAACACAGCAGTCGCAGTGGGGCTCCAGTTCTTCCAGTGTAAGCGCGACTCCTTGCTTCATCCTGTGCGGCGCGACGCGTCGAGACCGCTTCCGCGTCCCGATTGGGATGCGACTACTAGCCGTTGTTTGCCTCGGCGTGGCGCCGCTCCCGTTACATGCTTGCTCTTCACGTTCACGTTCGTTGATGGTTTCTGGCTTTTCTAGCAACAGCAACTCCCCAGTCTCGGTGTCAAGCGCGAAGGCGGCTCTCCCGACCACATGAATGATCGCAAAGACTCACATGAGGACACCATGTCCTCAACGAGTGACTTCGTCAAGAAGTTGTACAAGTCAGTGATCTCTGTACTTGATTTCCTCAATTCTGATTCATGTGCCCAGGATGCTCGAGGACCCAGCGTTCCAGAATGTTGTTTGCTGGGGCCCGCAGGGCGATTGTTTCGTGGTCAAGGTATGCGTGTTTCATGCCAAGTATCACGGCACGGTGTCTCAGCGCTCTCCCAGGACATGAACGAATTCACGAAGTCAATACTACCAAGGATGTTCAAGCACTCCAACTTCGCAAGTTTCGTGCGACAATTGAACAAATACGACTTCCACAAAGTGAAGAACACCGACGACAACCAGTATGGGGAGCACGTATGTGTTTTACGTTCCATCCGTCGAGATATTCATTAATTTCGCTGCAGAGCTGGACTTTCAAGCACCCAGATTTCCACGCCGACCGTCGAGATGCGCTCGAAAACATCAAGCGCAAAGTGCCCGCACAACGCAAATCGACCGCACCGTCAGCTCCTCAATCCATGCCAATACCGCAAGCCTCCTCCTCATATAACCCCTATCCACAACCCAGTCTCTCCTCCTCCACACCATATTCTGTCGATGCTACCGGCAAGATCGACACGTTACATGCGCAGCTCGCTTCCCTGCAGTCACAGCTCACGTCGCTATCCGCAGCGCACGAGGACGTGGTGTCACATGTACGAAATCTGGAGCGCAGCTACCAGGAAGTGCTTGTCGAGATGGTCGGGTTCCAGCGAGGGATGGCACAGCAGGACGGACTCATGCAGAACCTGATACAGTACTTTTTACGAGAAAACAACGGGAACGGCACCGGTGAGTGACAGGTTCGCCCTTGGATCCTCATCTGGGCCCGACCCCGCGTTTCTAATTGCTGTTTTCTTGTTTGTTAATGTAAAGGCAAAATGAAACAAGTGCAAGGAACCGATGGCGACGTCAACAATCCATTTCTGTTCCTGCAGAATCAAGAGACTCAGCGACTACTGGACAAGACGTATCCCGAAACAGATGTGGCGCGTGCCAGTCTGCTACAAATGAGCGAGATCTCGAGGAGGGCCGAACAAGTCGGAATGTCATTTGGTGGGCAGGCTGCCAATACCGCTGCTTCTGGCAGTCGGCTTAACAGTAACGGCGTTGGTGCAAGCGGCATTGGAGCAGCTATGGGGCGAATGGACATGCTGGCTCGAATCGAAGAACTTCAGGCACAACGTTCAAGAAGAATGGATGGCAGCAGCACGCTGACCGGCCAGCAGCGCACAGAGACCCCCGAAACCGAATCCGACGACATGGACGAAATTGTTCAGCCGACCCCGTCGAATCCGCCGGACATCGAGTCTGCGGGGATCATGGCAACCGGAGCTCTAATAGTCCAGCAGCGGACGCATGGAGTCTCGCCCCCAGTGATTCGCATGCTGGTCTGGAGGTGTACACCATCGGACATCTCATGCCTCGAGATAGTGCTGAAGGAATCGGGAGCTCTGGACTACTTGATGCTCAGGGCAACTGGACATTTCCCGACCCAACACTGCCGTCGACGCCTGAGATGGTCGGCAAGCAAGAGTCATCTGGATACGGCAGCCCATCGAACAAGAGCGGCAAGCAGACGCTGCGGGTCCGGAGATCGACGTTCGTCCCTGGCTGGGCAGTGCCGCCTCGAGTGCTCCTCGTCGACGACGATGCCGTAAGCAGGAAATTGAGCAGCAAGTTCCTGCAGGTCTTCGGGTGCGCGATCGACGTTGCGGTGGACGGCGTGAGCGCGGTCAATAAAATGAACTTTGAGAAGTATGACCTGGTATTGATGGTGGGCGATTTTCGTCTGAGGTTCTTCGAGCTTGGCTAACGGACTTGCAGGACATTGTCATGCCAAGCTGGATGGCGTCTCTGCGACGTCGATGATCCGGAAATTCGACCCGCAGACGCCCATCATCTCAATGACCAGCAACTCGCGGCCAAATGAAATCATGACGTACTACTCGTCCGGCATGAATGATATCCTACCGAAGCCTTTCTCGAAAGAAGGGCTCTTGGATATGCTTGAGGTACGCGCCTTCCTCTGCCAGCCCACCATCCCCGGCTGACCCGTGGCACCCAGAAACACCTGCAGCACTTGACCGTGATCAAAGAGAGGATGAACACGCGTGTGCCGAAATCGCTGGGCATCCCACCACTGAACGATGCGTCGTTCGAGAGTGCTCTGCAAGCAGGCTCGGGCTCCTCTCCCGACAGTCTGCTCAACTACGGCCTGGGGCTGAACAGCCCTTCCCCCGGCGACGGGCGCATCAACGTGCTTGCTGGCATGGGCCTGTCGGATGAGCAGTACAACATCATGCTCGCCGGGATCGTCAGCGGCGACGGTCTGGGCTTCGGTGCGTCGGGTCCGAGAAGCGGCCGTTGGAGCTTGGGGAGGGGGATGCTGATGGACGAGACGGCAAGCGCAGTCGCTTCGAAGTGGTTGACTGATTTATTCTGTGTCTGGCTTCTGTTTATCCCTTGTTAATCGCCGCTGCTCTATGTGTCTGTATAATATGCCTTATGCGGTATTTGGCCAAACTCAAAGCACTGTAACTTACGTACTGCATACCTAGAATCTTCCCGTACAATTATTCTTTCGAACAAGCACTCTTTCCATCTGGAACGCATCTCTCGAGTGTGATTTATACAAATCTTGCGATACTAAGTACTATCCATTAGCATATAAGGCCCTTGGGGCATGGGTCCGTAATGAATTCCGGTGCTCGTTCCTAAACAACGGTCAGCACACATGCGAGATCCCAATAGAGGAATACCGGCCTTGACACGCTCAGGCTGAGCGCAGACGACATGTGCTGGGCATCCGTCTTGGATTTGACGCACCTGGAACATCTGAGTCAGCAACTTCGTTTGATGCGGGGAGGCAATGCGCTGCGCTTACCGAGACATCGACGAGGGGTGTCGCGAGCGCAACGCCGAAGGACGTCAAGGCGATGAGGAGAAGGGACAACTTGAACTGCATGATAGGCTGCTTCGGATGGAGACCCGGACACACATGCTTTATGAAGGCACGGTGGCTTTCCCCTTGACCATATCCGTGTGATAGCGATTGGCACTCCGGTATTATCACTCGAATCGAGTTGATCTAATCTAATCTTTACCACAGCTAATCTGACAATTGAGACGCGGCCGACAAGCGATAGGCGATTGAGACGCATTTGAAAAATATAAAAACACCCAGCGATTGAATTTCATCGTCAAAGACCAAGGCAGGGCCTTGCAGATGATTGCTGGACTCCTGACTTACCTCCTGGCCGCCGGACTTGCCGCCCCAGGCGACCCGCTTTAGCTTAGATGAGCATTCAGCGAAATTATGCCACACAATATCAATACACGAACTTCCAATTCGTACAGTTTGAGTCTCAATTGCTTACCTCGTTCGCGAAACTATCATCCCCGATGTATTGCCACATTCCTTATCTAATCTATATGATCTCTGCGCCCGATTCAGGTGACAAGTGCCTCACGGCTGGAAACAATCAATCATTCACAACTCTGTCGAACCATCAGGCCGGGCATGGCTCTGACAAAGTCTGTGAGAGACACGTTACTACGATTCAGCTGGCTCCGATAAAAGACGGAAAGCGGCTGGAGTTCTCCCTGGATCGGCAAACTAACTCATCATGCCTTTCAAAGTAACTGCCTTCGTCCTCACTCTGGCCTCGTTCGGGCTCGTTAGTGCTGTGCCGACCCAGATAAGTGTCGAGATTGCGGTGCGTTTCCGTTCTTACACAGCTCTGTTGCTGCAGAACGTGTATCGACAACAACTCGCACAGGCGCGCCAGATCCACGACCAGTGCCCGCAACACGTAATCTGTCATAGCGACTAGTCGGGGAAACCATTGCGGTGGAGATCATGAGTAGGCGTAGTGGATAGGATAGCACTCGACGCAAATGGTTCTCGGGCTCGATCATACTTGTTTCGTGCACATGTCTCTGCTTGAGAACGTGACCTTGATTAGAGCGACTGGAATCTCAGCCAAGAGACAGCCAGGTGGGACACAAGTCAGTGGTCCTCGATAAGGAAGGGGGTAAGAATCAGGACAGCCTAGCCGGTGCCTGGCTCGGTGCACTATGATAAAAGGGTCACTCGCCACAGATCAGCTCAATACGCACCCTATCCATTCCCATCCATGCAGTTCCACCTCACAAGCCTCGTCTTTGTCGCACTTGCTTCGATTGGTCTGGTCGCTGCAGCACCGACTGCTGCCGAGGTAAGCTTGCATTGAAGGATGATGCAAGACGGGCCATCCTCACCCTCTCGATCAGGCTCGAATCGTTGACCCCTGCCCGCCTCACCTCATCTGTGTTAACCCGAGTTGAGCGGCACCAGAAGACCAGAAGTTGAGGGAGTCGCGAGTTGTCACGAGTCGAGTGTGAACAGTGGACCAGGCAGTCGGAATGTGGTCAGGGACTTGGGGCAGAAATGGCAGCGGAGTATCAGAGAAGTTGCATGCATTGTATCAATCGAATGCTTCCAAAGAGCTATGTGGCCCTGTTCAGATCGCTTGGAATGGTGCTAGTTGCTGGAGCCTTGCGCACCCTGTGGACAACGTCACGAAATAATGCTGGCGTCCACACCAAAGAATGCGCTCGAAAGCGCCATAATCTGCGCCACGATGACTCTGATATGACCTGATGAGACATTTTGGGTCCAATTACCGGACTTGCGGTGCCCTGGTGCGATTCTCGGGCTGAGAGTAAGCGGAAGACCCCTGACATCTCCACGAATACATCTAGTCTTTCCCGTTTCGGCTCTGACTTTCTACATGGTGACATCATGATACCCGGTAAGAGATTAGGGTGACCCGTAGTCCGTGACATCAGCCCGGATCAAAATCCGCGGAAGCTCAGCCGCGGGTGACCCGGGGGTGCCGTGGCAGTCCTTACGTCATATTTTGGCCGACTTCTTCGGCACGCTGCACAGATAAATATTCGTGAGCAGTCCACAGTCTCTATCTACAATCAAGTCAAGCCAACATGCCCACTCTCTCCACAGGCAAAGTTCTCGTCTCCGGCGCCAACGGATTCATCGCCGTCGTGCGTCCGATCTATTCTCTCGCGCACATTTGGAGGCTCACGCGACGCGTATCGCGACCTAGTGGGTTGTCCGCACATTTTTAGAAGAAGGATACGCCGTGCGCGGCACCGTGCGGTCTGAAGACAAGGGGAAACATCTCATCGAGACCTTCAAGTCGTACGGCGACAAGTTCGAGGTCGTCGTGGTGCCGGACATTACCGCGGTGCGTCGGCGAACTCCTGCTCACTGGACATCCGGAATCTCATCTCGCCTGCCCGTGGGCGTATAGGATGGCGCATTCGATGAGGCTGTCAAGGGAGTTCAAGCGATCGCGCACACTGCCTCCCCGTTCCATTTCCAGGCGGAGGATCCAGCCGGTACGCACTCATTCGAAGGTGTATGCAGCGACTCACGGGCCCTCGCAGTTCTGATCGACCCTGCGGTGAAGGGTACTGTGGGGATGCTCAAGAGTGTGCTGAAGAATGGGTCGGTCACCTTCGTTCGACCGATCACGTCGAGTAGCGCGCTGACGGGTTGCATCTAGGAAGGACGTCAAGCGCATCGTCGTGACATCCTCCGCCGCAGCTATTGTCAGCGTGTATCCTGAACCGACGCATTTCAGCGAGGAGAACTGGAATGACCAATCCGTTGAGGAAGTGGAGAAGCTCGGTCGGAAGGCATCCGTGATCTCGAAGTACCGGGCCAGTAAAACGCTGGCTGAGCGCGGTCGGTTCCAATCGCCATTTTCCCGCATATATTCTCATTCTCCACGAAGGCGCTTGGAACTTCGTCAAAGAACATGCGAGTGAGATTGGGTGGGACCTTACCGTGCTCAACCCTCCCCTCGTTCTGGGGGTGATTCGCTTCGTCCGATCCGCGTAGAACCTATTTTGATCATGTTCCAGCCCGAGATCCACGCCGTCTCCACCCCTGCCGAGCTCAACACCTCTTCGCGCATGATGTATCAGGGTCTGACCCAGGCAGGGGCGACCGTCGGCGGAGGGAGCTGGGTCGACGTTCGCGACCTGGCTTTGGCCCATGTGCGTGCTATTCAGAAGGAGGAGGCTGGCGGGGAGCGCATCATTGTCTGCGAGGGAACCTACACATGGCAAGACATGAGTGAGTCAGGGCACACTGCTCGATCTGGCGATTGACTGACGCATACATTGTGCCCAGTCGACGCGCTGCCCCCGGCTGCTGTCGCGTCCGGGAAGTATCAGAAGGGAACACCTGGATCTGGCAAGGACTTCAAGCAGATGACCACGTACGATAACTCGAAAGGTTTGCGCATCCTTGGGATCAAGTACCGCACGGTGAAAGACGTGACCGCGGACACGGTTGCGCAGTGGGAAGGCAGAGGCTGGTGAAGATGTCGCCTTGTAGATGTCGCCGAGTCGAAGTAACATGCAAGATTACAGAAACGCTAGATAAGATAATGCAATATGACATCTTATCTTTCCGGAAGTTGTTATCGGTATGCAAGTTACTGACATCATCGGAAAGTCCTGTTCGGACCCTGTCGGACGCTAGATATATATTCAGGACAGATCAGCGCACTATCATGAGAACTCTAAATTGAACTCCACACTTCTTCACGACTGTGGCGTACCCTGAGGAGACTATTTCCGTGCAATACTGGTCACAGGGACCGTTTCCTGCCAGAACCTATTCAATCCTTCCGATCGAGCGCAATACAGATCTGGATAGCTGTGAATGCCCGGGACAACCCGTTCCCAGTGTATGCACCTGGTGCGATGCCCGACATACCCCGTTCCCAGTACGTACCCTCGTACGATGCAGTCGGACAGACACATGGTCACTGCAACCTAAGAATAGACAAATGATGAGGAAAGCCGGAGGGAGAGACGTGGAAACCGTTGTATGCTGGGAGCAGACCAAGTGTGCTTCAGAGGCTGGCTCATTCCCCAGCCAAAGCTGAACCTTCTTTGGCCGCTTTAGGAAGGTTGTCGGATATAGACTGTCCTCCGCGCGCCCATCAAGTTTCCATCGAAAGTTCACAGCCCGCGAAGCGCTGCGTTAGTGCGGATTATAAACCGATAACGCATCATCTCTGTTCACCCCAACATAGAGACTGGGGCTATCGGCCCGGAGAACAACAATAGAGTGGGGACTCGGCAAAGCCCTGCTTCGTATATCCTGGGGACATTTGACGAACATTCGATGATGGGGCGATGGGACATCTGTGCGTGCACCTGCGGTTGACTTGCTGAATCATCCCTGCGAGTGCGGGGGGACCCCCAGAGCCCAGGCCTCCCGAAGCTCCTCGAGACTTGGCATAACGTGATCGATTATCGCGGATCTATCACATAATGAAAGAGGATCATCCCGAGAGAGATTGGTGGCGAAAAGAGTGGAGTTTTGCGCAAAAATCAGGGTGGATAGTGGCATCCCAAGATCGCCGGAGCAGCAACGCGCGTGATGTATGTGATGTATCGAATCGAAGCGAAGGGCTCCCGCGGGCCTTTGGCTGCAGCTCGATACTCAAGGTCTGTCTGAACATGACTTGTAAGAAATAGCCCACGTTTTGATTCCTCAGAAGTCGAACCATCGGGGGCACAGGTCCCGAGGCTCAAATCCGCCGAGCACGGTTATTAGTTATGTGTCCTGACTGATCGGACCGTGCTTGTCGATGCGTTTGGATCACAGATGCTCTCTCTGTTTACCGACAGCTAAAGAGGCAGCATGGGCCATACCTGTGACGGGCTGTATCACTCGCGAAGCAACCGTTGCTTCGCTCGGAGACTATCAATTCACCGGCCAGTAAAAGACATATACAGAAAGTAGGATACATTAGTACAAGAATGTGTCTTGTGAATACAATGTCGATAAGATTACTCGGATAAGTAGTACATACAGCGTTCAAGCGAGAGAGAGACTCATAGATCGAGAACACTCCTTGCCTGCGCTGCTTCCTGCTCAATCTTCATCGCGTGGTCGCCTTGGGGAAGCAAAATGAGGTCGTTGCGGCAATCACGAAATTGCGAAACATACCTGCCAGGGGAAGAACGCGCTCAGGGTCTTCATGGCATTCAGGATCGCTTCCAGATCCTGCTCGATAACCGAGACAGTGTACATCGTCGTGGCACCGAATTCCTGCCCAGATATCGCGAGTAGCCGAACATAAGTTCGAGCGACGGTGGACCAGCAAGCCTAGTCGATGATCAATATCTAGCCAGCCATGTGACCCAAGAACTCGCACTCACACTCAGTGTAGGGTCCAGGAACTGGTAGTCACCGTCGGTCAGTTGCCGAATCAGCCCGAGCACAGAGCTGGCGGCCTGGAAGGCTTGCCGCCCGAGCGTGTGTTTGTGCAGGTGGATTCTCGAAACATGGACCATCGTGTGGATCGCAAACAAGTCCACGTCGATCAGCGGCGACTGCGTTCTCCCACGATTCATAGCCCACGAAGGGGGGCAGGTGCAGGCAGAATCGGTCTAGGGCCATCTCCGCCGCCTGATAATCAAGCCAATATGCGTCCGTCTTCTTCACTGTGTTCGACAATCGGAACGTCCGCTCGTACAGCGCTGCAGCCTTGACTCGGAGGGCAGGGATGTGCGCCAGATCTGCTTCGAGGGCTCCCAGGTCGAACAACGAGCCGATCGTGTTTTGCGAAGCATCCAGCATCGATCCGTCGAGCGGCGAACCAGGCCAGGGCGTGTTGATCTGCAATTGAGGGCTATCTCCATCGGGTAGTGCTACCGGAAGGCCGCTCGCGACACTCCAGCACCGATCAACCATGAACACTGCCAGAACGCGGCGGCGCGATCTTCAAGTTCGGCCTGATCTCGCGCCGCGGGGATGGGAATAGGCGTGGTGCCGGTGTTGTAGAGCGGTGCTGCGTCGATTGTTGGGCCCCCGAGTCCACGGATCTGATGCATGCTCACGCCGACAGCCAGACGGGCGGCGGAGAACGAATGGCAATAGCCCTCCAGCGCACGGCAGTTGATGTAGAGGTAGGTGGCGAGGAGGCAGGATGCTTGGACGACATCGACGAGGCGGTCCGAGGCGTCCAGAGCGATGGTGATCTCGTGCAGCGTGCGATGAAGAAGAACCAGCTCGATCTCGGTGCAATAGGGCGAGCGGGCAAAGTGGCACGCCAGCAAATAGATCGCGTTCATGAGTGCTGGGTGTGGTTCGCGACCTGGCTGTGTCGAAGAAGTGACGGGTAGGAATCGGTCCATCTGGCAGTCGAACCAACACTGGTGTCGGTGCGCCATGAATATATCGAGCCTGATCGTGCATGAGTACGAAGAAGCGGAAATTTGGTGTAGCCCACGCACAGAATCCTCCTGCTCTCAAACGGTAAAGGTTCCTTCTGATCCCACTGTGGCATATACGGCACGTCAGGGTTGGCGGGGACACTGGAAAACGGGGACATTTCGAAGAAGGACATTTCGGGGTCGGGGACGACTTGATCCAGATCCAGAGCAGGTGTCTCGTACCCTGACGTGCTGCTGTACAACGACGAGCTGCTCGATGACGTCGGCCATGCGAACGTCTCGAAGAGGTTCTCCATCGCCAGACCGCTCACACCCTCCATCTCCGCCAGAGGCATGGTTCCGGGCGACTCAAGGACCGCGCTGTTACTAGCATATGCCCCCACTGTCGAGACCAGCTCGGGGGATGATCGCTGAGTAGCCGGAAGCGCCGATTGATCGCTCCCCGGGGATTCAGAACTGTGCGACGACTCGGACTCGAGTTCGCGGAGCCGCTCCTCGAGCTGCGAGAGCTTGTCCTTGAGTTTCTGCGTCCTGCTCTTCTGCTTTTTGTCGTCGTACTCGCATTCCACCTCGCGGTTCATCTTCACGCACTGGACGCACACGGGCCGCGTCCCATCGCATTTCTATCCGCGGGTGAGCTGTGTGCAAGAATGACTGAGGAGCGGGGTGCGCACCAGTTTTCGCTTGCTGTTCGGTCAAATGGGGTCCGTAAGCAAGAAGATGACGACTAGGGAGGGAACACGAGTACGAACCGGCAACATAGGCATGCGAAACCGCGCTGAAGAGATGGAATGATAGGGATTTGCGTGTGGGCATGGTTGGGGGAGGAGGGCAGCTAGTCTCGAACGGCTAAGATAATATTTTATACATCGAAGATGCCGTGAAGCAGGATCTCGCTTGGATCTGGGTGAATGATTTGCACATGTCAGATCATTTTGTGAGACAACCATTGCCATCCACGATCAAGCCATATTTGGTCCAAATCCGGAGCAAAAAAGTCCGCCTCTGAACGGACAATCCCGGTGTTGCACTTCGAGATGGGCAGTGCATAGCAAGATCTAATGTACTTGTCGCACTACGCAGCGAAGCGGTCGCTCTATGTATTTACTTTTTGTCGGTAAAGGTCTTGCGCATGTTTTCCCAGACGACAGCAGGCGCCTGTGCTGCATCAATGCCATGCCATAGTCCCTTAGCCTTGTAGTAGTCGACAACCGGACCCGTCTGAGAATGGAACGAGCTGAGCCGCTTGGTGAGCGTCTCAACGTTATCGTCCGACCGCTGAATCAACGGTTCGCCGGTGATGTCGTCCGTCATCGGCTTCTTGGGGGGCCTGAGAAACATCAGCTTCCGAAGAATTACAGTGCGAAACACAAGACGGCTAACTGAAATTCTTATGGTAGCTGCGTCCGCTGGCGGGGTGAATGAGGCGTCCAGTAATACGCGAAATGAGCAGCTGATCGTCGATCTGGAGTTGCACGACGGAGTCGAGCTTCTCCTTCCGCTGAGAGCATGCCGTCCAGTTTCTGAGCCTGGGAACAGGTGTGCGAGGGAACCCGTCTAGAACGAATCTGGCGAAACAACATGGTGTGGGATATACTGGCCAGCGGTATTCGGTTACGCACGCCGTTCTTGTGCACGCAGAGTTGTTCTCCAGCCTGGTCCTTGATCATGCCCACCATAATGTCGTCCGAGACGATTTCCACCGGCATCCATGATCTTCTTGGCCTCGTTCCCAGAGGCGTCCTTTTGGGAGCCTGCTCACGCAGCATGTCTCCAGTAGCCATGTGGTGCAGTGTGCGCAGGAACTCGTCGCGTAATCCGAGTAGCCTGCGTGCCTTTGCCGTTCACAGACAAAACTTCAGGACGACATGGTCAGAAACGCGTCGAGTGCCTCCACACCTGCTCCAGGAGGTC